CTGTATAATGAGTAGGTTCCCAAAGCCAAAAACTAATTTTGCACTTTCAAGGATTTGTAAACCTATTAGGAGGTCAAAGCTCTGGGGCTTTAACCCTTGGGTGGCTAAGTCGGACTTTTTTCAAAAAATTTCCTTCCACCCCAGGTGGAAGAAAAAAGAATGAAGACAGTGTGATGTGGAAGGTGAAATCAGGAAAAATCCTTGCATTTTTTCCCTTTGGGCAGAAGAGTTTTGCCTGAAAAAAAGCCCCTTCAAGTTTTTTCTTATTTTACAGCTGCTGTTCTTCTCAGACCTGAACATCCTTGCCAAAAAAATCGGAAGAGGTGAATCAAGACAGGTAGAAATAGATAATTTAGACTGAAAATTTTATCCAAAAACCTCTTAATTTTCTTCACCTTCTGTGGACAAAAAATCCCTACTTTCATTGAAAAATAATGTTTGGAGGAAGAACGTTGAGAAACAAGAAACACTTGAGAAACACTCTGAAGAAAGTTTAGAAAGCCTGGGAAAAATTAGCTCTGGGGAGTAGGCTTCAGTGGAACAAATTGTTTAAATTTTTCACACTATCTGGCCTGAAAATCTCCCAACAAATTCAAAAACATTTAAAAGTAAAAAGATCTTGAGGCTTCAAGCTGAGGATGAGGTCAGAAGTGTGAAAGTTGGAAAAAGTCCTACTTTGGACAATTGCAGCAACTGCCATTTTACAGATAAACCCTGACTTTGCCTCACCCAACCTGGGAGCATTTTTCTGACCTTCAGAAAACCAAAAATGCAGGAGCACAAAAAAATCTAACTCCATCCTGCAATGGAAAGGACCCTTCTGCCATCCTAGGGTTCACACAAGCAAATTCTTCCAAGCAGAGGGTACACTCTACCAGCACAAGGGAAGAGGAAGACTTTCCACAGGGGAATGCTCCTTTGTGGATTGCCCACTGTGTACATCAAGCTGCGCATTGTTTACATTTTAGACACCTTGCTTTCATCTTAAAGGGGGTGCTTCATGGTTCAATGCCTCTCAGAGGCAAGCTTACTGGCCACCACTTTTGTCATACCAGTAATGATTGACAAAGGTGGATATAAATGAAACTCAGTCAATCAGTCATTATAGGCAGACAGATCCTCCTTAGTGGAGTCCCAAGAACCTCAGGTTTATTGGCTATCAGAGAACAGGATAATCAGGGTACAGACTTGGTGATCCCAAAGCCTGACAGAACCTTGAAACTCCTTTCCTGTCACACAAAACACACAGACTCAATAAGGTAGTTGTGGCGAATTTTTTAGTTCTATTTTTTAGCAAGTTAATTTGAGAACCCAATTTCTCGTCCTTGGGGACAAATTCCACTTTTGGTGAGAACCTTGGAAGACCTCGATTCTCACATTACTTACGGAAGCCTCCAAGGCTACATTTCTCTACTAATCCTGTTGCCAAATCTTGTCCTTGAAGGACTGCTTTCCTGTTCCAAAAACTCACAGTGTTCAACACAGTCCATCTCCTGCATTTGTGTGTGAGGTTACTCCAAGATTTTGCGAGCATTCATCTAAAAGTGTCAACCAAATCTTCAAATATATCAACCTTATGATAGGGTGATCTCACCCCAGTCGCAGCCCGACCAAATTCTTGTGTTTTACTCTAAAAACCAATCTATCTCATCAGCAAAAGATTCTTTAAACTAAAGTTTGTTATTTGTTGGGATTATTCCTGACAGCAGTCAAACCATAGCACACTGCAATGGAGAACAGTAGCAGGCCCTTCCTGTGGCAGGCAAGAGCTTCAAGTGAAGTCTTCCTGCAAGTCCTTTTCTTTTCCTCTCTTTTCCTGAACAGGTTAGCCACTGGTTTGTTGCATTGTAGCAAACCAGCTGTGCAACGGTGCTTCTGCTGCACACACGTCTGCATTTACATGCCCAGGTTGAACCTTGGCAAATTTTTTTTTGTCCACAGGGCGCCCTCTTGCATGACCCCACAGCTGCATGCTTCATTTTTGAAACCTACAAAAAACGATTGCCTTCAAGAATTTGGACTGTAATTTATTGTGCTTAGTACTGGAAGTAATCTGCAACAAACGGAAGATCCCCAATGATAGATTCAGTGGCAATTTAAAATTTCTTGTAAGCATGCCATACGCATTTTTTGAAACCTACATTTTAGGCATCTGGCAGAGTTCCCCAACCCGCGGTCCGTGGACCATTGGTTTGCAGATGTTTTCTGCCAGTCCACAGAATATTTTCTTTAGCATATACTGTAAAATATTTATAAAAATTAGCAATGAAGTCTGTCATCTTTAAGTGGAATGTTGGAAAGACAATGACATTTTCTGATGTGTAATAAAAGTTGGCTTTTCTCCTATGATGACACTTCATAAAATTTTCACCTCCTCAAAAATTTTTTTTTTGAGTTTTCATTATGAGAAATCTTCCTCAAAGCCCAACTTTCTATTTTTTGAGACATTCCAAATTAGCTATATTTCATTGGTTCTTGAATTTTTTTTGAAAAATGCATAAACGTTTTTTAACCTGTCAGAAAGTCTTTGAAACAAAATGTTTTTGAGTCTGCAAAAATGTAATGAAGCTGTGTCAGTCTGCAGAAAATATTTTTGAAATACAGTGAGACCCCAAAATGTGGACACCCCAACATACAAAAACTTCACTTGGGGACACTTGAAAATGCAAAAAAATTCGGCCTGGCATCCAAACAATATCTTGGCATACAGACACTTTTTCAGCATTTCTAGAACATTTGAAAATTTTGAATACTCCAAAATTTGAATATATCTTGAACAAATTGAGCTATTTATATTCACAGAATTTAAAACTATCATTATATATTTTTTTGAATTTATAATCAAAAACAGGTTAATTTTGTGCTTATTTTTTTTAGCATTCTCTATCATCTATATATGCATAGGATAGCAAAGCATATACGTTTTGTTTGAAATTTTGAGCCCTTTTCATGCCAGAGGATCATATTCTGTGCCAGTTTCTTCATTCTGAAAAGTCATATACTGTATCTTTGTGTTGATGAACACAAAGATACAGATC